GCTTAAGTAACTCCTGCCAAAATAGACTAGTAAAAGTCCTGTCTCGATCAGAAATAGCTACCTTAGGAGGACCATGAAGCTTATAAACCTGATCCAAATATATCTTAGCAACTTGCACCACTGTGTAGGGATGGGACAGTGGCATAAAATGAGCATACTTAGTAAATTTGTCAATTACCACCAGAATACAGTTGTGCTTTGCTGAAGGTGGCAACCCTTCAATAAAGTCCATTGTTATAATTTCCCAAGCATTGTTTGGAACTGGAATAGGTTGTAGTAGCCCTGGCTTGGAAATGTGCTCAATTTTAGTTCTCTGGCATACCTCACATTGCTGTATATGTTCTTGAATCATAAGCTTCATCTTTGGCCAAAAAAAATAAGCTTTAATCCTCTTATAAGTAGCTTGAATGCCTGAATGACCCCCTTGTGGTGAATCATGGGAAGCCACAATAAGTTTCTGTCTGAGATCTCCCTTGCTGCCCACATAAATTCTGTCTTTAAAGTATAACACCCCCTTCATTCTCTTTCAATCCTCCATCTTGTCAGGTTGAATAAGTAAAATAGGAAGTTTCTCTTGAGCTGGTAGATCACCTTCATAACTATGCTCAATATCATGCATCCAAGTAGGAACAATAACAGTAACCCCCATTTGCAGAAACTCACCAGAATCCATGTGTTGTCTAGAAAGTGCATCTGCCACCTTGTTTGTTTTACCTTTCCTGTACTGGATTGTATAATCCAACCCCAATAACTTAGTAAGACCTTTCTTCTGGATAGTAGTAGTTATCTTTTGCTCCAATAAATGCTTTAGAGGCTCATGATCTGTTTTAATGACAAATGAGCCACTCTCCAAATAATGCCTCCAGTGTGATACTGCCATTAGGATGGCTAAGTATTCCTTTTCATAAATAGAAAGGTCTGCATGCTTTGACCCCAAAGCCTTACTTAAATAAGCTATAGGCCTTCCTGCTTGAGATAAAACAGCCCCAATTCCTTTGGAACTAGCATCAGTTTCCAAAAAAATTTCTGTTCGAAATTGGGCAAAGCCAAAACTGGAGCTTCACACATAACCTTTTTTAATGTTTCAAAAGCTAATTTAGCCTCTGGAGACCAATGAAATCCATCATTCTTCAACATATTGGTTAAAGGTTTACTCAATTCTCCATACCCTTTGATAAATTTTCTATAATATCCTATTAAACCTAAAAATCCTCTCAAAGCTTTCAGATTTTTAGGTAAAGGCCACTGTTGCATAGCCTTTATTTTTTCAGGGTCAGTTGCCACTCCCTTAGCTGAAATTAAGTGTCCCAAATACTCCACTTGTTGTTGGCCAAAAAAGCACTAACTCTTCTTGGCATACAACTTGTTCTTCAACAGAATTTCCAGTACCACTCTTAAATGTTTTTTATGCTCTGCCATACTAGGACTGTAAATCAGAATGTCATCAAAAAACACAAGAACAAACCTCCTTAAATATGCTCCAAACAAGTCATTCATCAAAGCTTGAAAAGTAGCTGGAGCATTAGTCAAGCCGAAAGGTATAACTTTAAATTCATAATGCCCTTGATGAGTTCTAAAAGTAGTTTTATGAACATCCTCATCTTTAATTCGAATTTGCCAATAACCAGATCTCAAATCAATCTTGGAAAAGAAAGTAGCCCCATATAATTCATCTAATAAGTCTTCTACTATAGGAATTGGAAATTTATTCTTAACAGTATAAGAGTTAAGTTGCCGATAGTCCACACAAAACCTCCAAGTTCCATCCTTTTTTCTAATAAGTAAACAAGGAGAAGCAAAAGGACTCTTACTTACTTGTATGATAAATGAGGATAACATCTGAGCAATCTGTTTTTCAACTTCAGTCTTGTGATGATGAGCAAATCTGTAGGGTCTTAGATTGACTGGTTGTGTCCCCTGTTTAAGAACAATAGCATGATCATGTTTTCTGCTAGGAGGCATCCCCTCAGGTTCCTCAAACACTTCTTTAAACTCCTCTAATAACTCTTGTAAAGATAGAGGAATTATGGTTTCCTCCATTTCAACATGCAACAAATAAATTTCTCCCTTCACTTCAATATCTTTTGCAATTAACTTCTGAAATTTTTCTCCGGAAATTGGTTTGAGTATTGGTAATTTCTGAGTCCCTCTAATCAGAACAGTCTGTCCATCATTTTCAAAACTAATTGTCTTGGCCTTAAAATCCATCATTATAGGGCTAAACTCCTCCATCCAGTCCACCCCCAGTACCATATCACTGCCCCCTAAAGACAAAACTCTGAAATCATGCTGAAATTCATAGCATTGCATCTTCCAACTCACCTTATTGCTTCTGGCAGTACTGAACAGCTTCTCTCCATTAGCTACTGTAATAACTAATGGTTGAGTCTGAACTAGTTCAACTCCTTCTTTGGCCCACTTAGGTGTCACAAAACTATGTGTGCTGCCACTATCAATCAGCACATTAAGTGGTTTTCCTCTGATACAACCTTGAATTCTTAAGGTAGTATGTCCTACATTACCTGTAATAGCATTGATAGAAATTTCTAATGCCTCTTTTGCTATATCATTCTCTTCTCCAGTTTCTTCTTCCATCAATTCCTGATCAGCAGATTCTTCTTCTTCTTCCATACTGTTCAACTGCCTAACTTTGCACTGATGTCCAGGAGTAAATTTTTCCCCACATTTAAAACATAAATTATTTGCTCTTCTATAATCCAGTAAACTCTGTTTAGTATTGGTATTAGGTGGAATTGGCTTAGGCTGAAAACTCTTAGTCCCACTGTTCTGTTGGCTACTAGAAGAAGTATAAGGAAAAAATTTTTGAGAAAATTTATACTTCTTTCCTTCCATCTCATTAGCCAACTCATAAAGTTTGGCCTGCCTGTAAGCTTCAGACAATTTTCTGCGCTCCAACACTTTCACCTTGTGTTTTAATTCCTCCTTGAGGCCACTAATGAAACTGGAAACAAAATAATCCTCCCCTAAATGCATATGCTGTTGTAGTAAATAGGGTCTTAACTCCTCAAACTTTTCTTGATACTCTTCTACACTGCCCTTCTGCATTAACTTATTAAATTCTTCAATGATATCTGAATAGTTTCTTTCACAAAATCTATGAAACAAATCAGCCTCAAATTCATGCCAATTCACTCTATGTTTCTGCATAATATAGCCATCAAACCAAGTCTCAGCCTTTCCCATTAAATACATTGCAGCCACATCCAGTTTTTGTTCCTCAGGAACTCCCAAGAGATTAAAATATTTTTGGCATTTTCTAACCCATCCTCTAGGATTACTACCATCAAACATCTGCAACTCTAATTTAGGACGAGGTAAGATAGGCCCTAAACTACCAAACAACCCTTTACTGTCCACTTTAACCTCACTAGAACTGCCCCTAACATTTTCTTCCTGCAATGTCTGATTCAGAGGTATAGTACCAGTAAACCCCACAGGTTTAGAAGCTAATATTCCTGGTTCATTAGGTTGAAAAGTATACTTTTCATGCTCACTAAGAACCTTAATCAAACATGGCTGTTTACCTCTATTTTTATCCTGTTTCTCAGCTGCTTTTGCTTGATTCTTCACTGACTGAGGTGAATCTTTCTCCTCAGTTGCTTGATTGACCAGCTGTAGGATCCTTTGCAAATACCCTCTATTCTCCGTCATTCCATCCTCCAACGCTTGAATCCTCCCTTCCAGCTCTTCTTTCTGCCCCGCCCACCAAGAAGGTAAAGTCTCCTCCTTAACCTCCACTGCTGATTGTTCTGGTACTTCTGTGATTCCAGTTTTTTTCATTTTTCTTGTCTTTCCCAGCGTGAAAAATTGATTTTGGATCACTAAAACTCAGCTCTGATACCAATTGTTATGTTTAGGGTAAGATTGTAGAAGAATTTTTTAGGGATTTCAGGAAATAGAAGAAAACAATAGATACAGAAAACGTGTAATCTCCTTTTCTAAATCCCCTTGAAAGATTTGGTACAATTTATATATGGACAGTACCATACAGCTGTCAGTACAGCCAAAATAACTAACTAATTGCTGACTCATTCCTTCCAACCCTCTACTGTAGCATTTGGATCAATTAAGACTCCCAACCCGAAGGATCTACCCATGACTGATAAGTACTGTTGGATCAAATGTCACTGGCCCAACTATTAAAACATCATCACGTGGGTCTTTATTTCCCATTCCAGACCTGTCCATATTCCTTGCTTCATTCATCCCTTTCTCTGGTAAATGTTCAAACCCTAAATCCCCTTCAATCCCTAATTTCTCCTGAATTTCCCACAATCTCGGCTGCTCCTTTCTCAATTCCTTTCCTCTATTTTCCCCCAAATCATCACCTATCAACCCTAACTCTCCTTCCATCGTGACATACATCCTCTCGCCTCCATTTCCTTAAGTATGGCACATGCCTCCTCGAACTTTCCACCTATATAATAACCACGGATCATGGAATTGTATGTAAATACATTCGGAAGTTATCCCTTGGCAATCATCTCATCAAACTTTTCTTGAGCTTTCTCCAGCTCCCCAGCCACAATGTATCATGTAACGATTACAGTGTAGCAAACGACATCAGGCATGAATCCATTCTTTATCATTTCATCGAAAAAGTACTTGCAAGAATCCGTGTTTCCAGCACGACTCATGCCATCTATCAATGTTGTGAAATAAAGAACACCTGGGCTTAGTCCCTCCTCCTTCATGTGATTCAATAGATCAAGTGCTGCAAGTGGTTTATCCCCATTTCCAAGAACATGCAGAAGGATATTTTATGTATGAAAATCAGGGGAAAATCCGCATCTACCCATTTCATCAAGTAATCTGTGGAATTGATCTTCCCTAATTTGTATTTTGCATACATAAGGATATTGTAAGTAAGAATATCAGGGGGAAAACCATCAGCTAACATCTACCGGTGAACCCACTCAATTAGCTTTTATTGATTCACAGAAAGAAGTGTATGCAGAATGGCGTTGTATGAATGCTTAAATGGCCTATAATTGAATGTTTTGACTTGATGAACCTCTCCACAACTTTTCAAGCTAAGCCCGTCTCACCGCACGTGCATATCAAAATATTAAATGTCCTGGCAGTCGTAGGGAAGCCACTCTGTCATCTCATCCACTAGTCTCCACATTGCCTTGTATTCCTCACACTCTGCACATGTCTTCATTATCCAGTGATATGAGTCTGCAGTGTGCCTATAAGCTTATTGCTGACCAGACCACACAAAAAACTTGTATCCGATTTTCGCACACCTGGTTTTATTCGCATAATTTATGGTCTTCAGAATTCCATTAAGAACTTCCCTCACAAGAAACCCCGAGATCCTCACCCGCAATTCACTAATAGCAACTTTTACATCAAATCTCTGCCCATCTCGTTCTAAAACCTCAAGAATTCTCCTAGCATCATCCCTTCCACTCTCGAGAAACCCTTTTCTAGCCGTAAAACGGGCCTCGAAGTCACTTCCGTAACCCGCACAATCATCACGAATTTCATCAAAAACAGAACCAATACTAAGACCCTTCCACATTCTCCTCAAGGGTTCATCCGAACAATAAAAATCAGTATCAATTTTATAGCTAAATAAACTACTACCGCTACATAATTTTCTGGATAAAATTAGGACACCACATGATTTATACACATTCCTTGGACCGAATAGAGCTAAAGTGTTCATTTTCTTTAGAACAAATTAAGCATTGGGTCACTCCCATTATCTTTGAATCTTTACAAAAACCCAACGAATTGGAAAGCTCGAGAAACGTTGCGCTCTCGAGTTGATAAATACCCAATTGCACGATAGCGGTTTATTGGGATGAGACAAGTTCATTGAATAGCTACAGTTTCTTATAGAACAATTGGAATGGGGACTTGCCTGGAATTAAAGAGGTTGATGAAGGGATTGTATAAGCTTTTGAGGAGGTTAGAGATTTTGCTGCTGCGAAAAGAGTAGAGGCGAAGTGAAAAACAAGAAGAAGATACTGATACGCGAGGAAGTAATCAAGGAGTTCAATCTCGATCAGGGTTTTATAGGAAACGGCGCGTTTTTGCCGCTGCCGTTTTGGTGACGGAGACGAGAAATTTTCATGGGCCGAGTGACCTGATCCGACATGGGGTTTTAAAATTTGAGTTTGGCCTATTTCATGATTTTGTTTTGGGTAAACTACACGGGAGACCATTAAACTATGATCAAAAATCAATAAGACAACAGAACGTTCAATTGAATCAATCAGACCATTTAACTATTTAATTGATTTAATCAAACCACCGGCCGTTAAATTTTAACAGAGGAGGTGGTGACGTGTCCTTTAAGATTAATTGGCATAATAATATATTTGGTCCTTAATATTTACATATTCTATCAATTTAGTCACTATTTTAATTCAATTAAATAAACTTAATTATCCAATTAGAACGTGACACGTGTCAATATATGATTAGAAGGTTTTATTTATGAATTTCAAATTATTTAATTAAATAATTTTCTATCCAATCAGGTGGTGACACGTGTCACCACCTAATGAATATGAAAATTAAAAAGACCAACATGCTCTCTAAGGGATTCGAACGAGGGTCTTGGGGAAGGGGAGGGATAGATTAGGCACCCAAACCATTGGTCAAAGGTTCCCAATGATTTAAAGTTACAATAATTTGTATTTGTCTTTTAAAAGTTTGTTAAGGATAAAAAATTAAACAAATTATTTGTTTAAAAAAATTATTAAAAAATTAAATAAATTATTCACGACTAATTATTTTCAAATAAATTTCGGTTTGATTAATGTTTAAAGAAAAACAATTCGGTTAATTCGGTTCGGTTAATCGAACCAAAATTTGTTTGAAAATTATTAACCGAATCGAATTAATTTGAAAATTATTAACCGAACCAAATTTTTTTGAAAATTATTAACCAAACTGAATTAATTTGAAAATTATTAACTAAACTGAATTAACTAATTTTTTTAAAATTATTAATCGAATTAATCGATGATAAAATTAGGTTAATTCGGTTCGGTTAATCGAATCAAAATTTGTTTGAAAATTATTATCCGAACCGAATTAATTTGAAAATTATTAATCGAATCGAATTAACCGAATTTTTTCTTTAATCATTAATCGAACCAAAATTTATTTAAAAATTATTAACATAATCGAACAAATTTCGGTTTATTCGATCAATTTTTGAATTAAAGATTTTTTTAAAATTTTCTAATTTATAAAAATTGAATATTTTTAATTCAAAAAAATAGTTTACAATTAATTTAAATAATAATTTGTTTAAACAAATAATTTGTTTAATTTTTTATCCTTAACAAACCTTTAAAAGACAAATACAAATTGGTCTAATGGTTTGGGTGCCTATTCTATCCCTCTCCCCTAAGACCTTAGTTTGAATCTCTTAGAAATCATGTTGGTCCATTTAATTTTCATATTCATTGGGTGGTGACACGTGTCACCACCTGATTGGATATAAAATTATTTAATTAAATAATTTGAAATTCATAAATAAAATATTTCAATACACGTGTCACGTTCTAATTGTATAGTTAAATTTATTTAATTGAATTAAAATAGTGACTAAATTGACAAAATATGTAAATATTAAGGACCAAGTATATAATTATACCAATTAAGCTTAACGGACACGTCACCACCTCTATTAAAAATTAACGGCCTATGGTTTGATTGAATCAATTAAATAGTTGGGTGATCTGATTGATTCAATTGAAAGTTCGGTTGTCACATTGATTTTTGACCATAGTTTAGTGGTCTACTGTATATGTAATATCCTCAATATCGGGTTAGTGATCAAATTGTAAAGTTTTAGAATTTGGTGACTAGAGTAGAACCATGGATTAGTTCAATGATTTATTTGGAAATAAATCATAAAAGTTGTTAGTAATTATTAGATGAATTGAAGGGCAAAAGGGTCATTTGACAAAGAAGATTTTTTTATTTTCCTTATAAGATAAGGAAATCACGTGGGAATAGAGAAAAAGGTTCCAGAGTTCTCTTCTCTTCTCTTCTTCATTCTTCATACGTGAAGGCTTGACTCAAAGGTGATTTTCTTTGTTTGTTGATTAATTATTGATTTTAATGTTGGGTTATGATCATTAGATGATAATTAAGCTTAAGGAAAGCTTAATTTGTTCTAAAACAACAAGATGAAAAATATATGAGAGATTAAAGAAAATGAGTTTTTAGATGAATTTTTGGAAAAGAGTTCATAAGTGAAATTTGATAAGGAATTTGACTTGTCATCACTAAGAATAAGAGATATATGAAGTTAGAAAGGATTAATAACAAAGTTGAAAATTTAGGAAGATTATTAAATTTTAAGAATCATGATGAGATATGGAAGATAAAGATGGTTTATATGGATATAAGGTGGTTTAAGTAATGGTAATTGAGTTTAATGACATGATAGGGGCTTAAAATAGAAGAATTGAGTGAAAAGTTGATGGTTTTCGGGCTTAAAATGCAAATTATGGGCAAGGTGTATCGATGCACATTCATTGTGTATCGATGCATTCTTTAAAGAAGAAACATCGAATGTAATTAGTGCATCGATGCACCCCCTCAAAATGAAAACATCGAAGGTGATTGGTGTATCGATGCATGGGTAGTGCATCGATGCACATGTTAAAGAATGCATCGATGCACTATAGAATGTATCGATGCACTTCAAGGGGAAATTGAAATAGACATTTCTTTTTGGTCTAAGAAATGATAGATTAGAATATATTAATTGGATATTGATATGTATCAATGTACAATTATATAGATATCAAGCACGAACAAGTTCCGGAACGATTATCAAGTTAAGATTCGATCGAAAGCAAAGTTCGGATAGGTCGTTAGAGTAAGATGCGCAAGAAAGAGAAAGAGCTTGGTAGTGTTATTGGTGATTAGGTGGGTATATGATAGTAAGTGTACATTATGTTAAGGAATTAAGACTTGCGATGAGTCCAATTCTGATATTATATGATATAAGTACTAAAGCATAAACATGTAGTGATATGGTGTTAGATGTATGGTATATGAGTAAATGCATATGTTTAATTGTTGAATGCATTTTTATGTGTGAACTATGAAAATGTCTGTATTTATGATAATAGGTCATGTGATCATGAGATATATGATAAAATATATATGAAAATAATAAGACATAAGATTACATGCATATGTAATATAAGTTAAAAGATAAGAAATAATATGTTATATGCATCTGAGAAAAAGGTATATGTGATGTGACCATGTGTGAAAAGGATGAATAATGTGAATTTCATGGAAAAATGTTACGTGAAAGTAAACTACGTGACTATGTGATCATATGAAATGTGATAAAGAGCTATGTGAAAGAACTATGTGATATGAAAATGTGAATGTGTAATGAGGTAAAAGATAATGCCCATGTCATGTGTTATGAGAGCTATAGGTATAGTTGGCATGCCAAGAATCGAGGGTCTACGTAGTCCTTTGGGACATAGTGGTCCTTCAGGACATATGTGTTATATGTGGTCCTTCGGGACATCTACGTGGTCCTTCGGGACAAATTCTACGCGCTCCTAGTGTGATTTATACGAGTTGTGGTAACAGCATTGTGCACAACCTCTATGTACTCACATACCTTAAGTTCTCAGTAGTGTGCATGGGCTAACCAAAAAGGATAACAATAAAATGTGAGTTGTAATGAGAAATGTGTTACATGTTTTATATGAGGATATATGTGAATGTGTGTATGTGTTATGATAAAGAATGTGTGTTATGGGTTATGGCATTTGTTATGTGATGTACATGAATATATGTTAATATATATAAATGAATGAATATCAATGACTCATATGATGATGTAAGAACATGTTATAAGATATAGAATATGAAAATAAGAGAGCATATGAACAAGATATAAGAGATAGAAAGGATAATCATATAAGGTTATGAGGAAATATAAATGATGACATGCATGTGTGTATGTAATTGTTACATGAAAAAGTATGTATATAAATATGACGTTGTATTACATGATATGTACATGCATTTGATAATTTACATATAGATTTATATGTCTCACTAAGTCTATGACTTAGCGTGTGAGTGTTTCACACGTAAGTTCAGGAAAGCAGGAAGAGAAGCTAAGAGGAGCAAGACATGTTAGTTTCTCCTTACTGAAGGTCGGATCAGAACATAAATGAATAACATGCATTTTGTTATATAGAATCTAGTTGGCATGTAGTTAAAAGATTTGTATTAGATACGCTCTGATCATTTGTAAAACCATATGTTTTATATCATAGAAAGTAAATGGTTTTATTAGAAATATCAAACTGAATCTTGGGTATTTTGTAAAAATAAATGTTTTGAGAAGTCAATGTGACACCTCAAATTCGTATCCGGGTCGGGTACGAATTGGGGTGTTACAGTATAGTTTACCCTTTTTTTATTAATTTAAATTTAAACAAAATAGACACTATTTTTTTGCCCTTCCTTCCAGTTTTAAGATTTCGCTCTGACTGATTCGGACTGACCCGAGTAATACACCTGATTTTAGTGGTGGAACTTGAACTCGAAACCTGCTTAAACGATATTGAACTATTTATTACTTGAATCAATCTTGTTCGTAATAAAATGGGCATTATTAACTGTAAAACATGTGCATTAACAAGGTTTGATAACGTTGGAAAATATTGTGATTTTAATACTCTGGTTTCAATTGGGTAGAAACAAATAATTGATTCGAATTTAGATTTTGATCTAATTCAATTTTATAATATTAAAGTTTTTAAAATTTTAAATGTAGATCCTATTTAAATGAATAAAAAGTATTCAATTCAAAATAATAATTTAATTAACAAATTTTATAATATTGAAGTTTTTAAAAATTTCAAATTTAGATCAGATAAAAATAAAAAAAATTATACGGTAGTTGTAGTTATTATATTATATTATATTATGATAATAACTACAACTACACCCCTTCTCTTTTTTGAGATTTAGCTGTTGCTTTATGACGTATAAGTTATGTATTAGTTCAAGTATTTCCAAATTTTAATGGTATTCGAATAATTCAGAGATAACTGATTAATTTGTGGAAACTAGAAATGACTAAATTTTAATATCCGACCCAATTCTATAATTATAAATGAAAATACACTTATTCGGAAGAAATAAAGCAAGTAAAACACTGGAAGCAGACTTCCAACTACACACGAGGAAACAGAAACCTTAAGTTTTTGGCTAAACACAGTGAACAAAGAAAAACTTGGATTCATTTTGATTACGAAAAGACATGATCATCTCCATTATAGCAGGCCCAAGGAATCAGTTGCCCGACTCCTGAAGAGTTCGACTATCGCCAGAATTTGAAGAACCAGTTGTGTCTGATCCAAACCATGATCCAACAGCACCTTTAAGCTTATCCACTACGCTATTGGTCGGACTATTCATCGATCCCGACCCAACCCTTTCGTTGGTTCCATCACCAGTGCCCAACCGGTTCGCAACCTCCTCCGACTCAGTCACCTTCCCCCTTGACGGAGTATCCTCCTTTCGCTTCTGAAAAGTCTCTGAAATCACTTCCGATAGCGCTCTATCATCGTCACCAGGCTTAAATTTTTCCGCAATATAGCTTTTTACCGACACCCCTTTGTCCCGATCTTTAACCTGCTCAGTTTCCACCTCGGTTGCGGTTCCAGAGCCAGAACCGTGTAGCTTCGTTGCTGATGCTTGTTTAGTTGTATCTCGACCTTCACGTAATTCATTGGCGGTAGTCGGATCTTTTTCACCATAGCCGAGCTTTGAAGCTACAATGTTCTTGGCTGACACCGCTTTTTCTGCAATAGCAGAGGTTGCAGACGAGATTTTCTCGGTGTAGCTGCTCTGATTCATCGGTTTGTCGACATTACGCTTTTTTCCTGTGTCGTTTTCATCGTAAATTTTCATTTTATCCATCGAATGAAGAATCGGGGCTATCCCTGTTGCTTCTCCACCTGTTACAATTTTATCATAATTGAATGGAACATGCATGAGCAACAAACTGTAAGTATTTTCAGCCTAGAAAATGTTTTGACCTTCTCTAGTTGGATCTGTGACTTTGGTCTGATAATTAGTAGTGGAATAAGCATCAGCAGTGTCCTTCGGCGCAGTAGCGTCTTCCTCCAACCCTTTTGGTCTCTGCAGATTAACCTTCGGTTGGCCTGGATATTCATCCACCCCATGAACAAAAGTTTTTGAAGGATTGTCATCTTTGACTTGATAACTTGACGGAAAAGGTGTGTTTTGCAGCGGCGCTGGAGGTTCGCCGACAGTATCAGTCGTCTTCCCAAAGCCAACCCTCGGTTGTTCTCTCATTAGAGGCGCCTCCAAGCCACCAACGGTGCGCTTTCTTTCCCTTGATGCCAGTGGATCCGTTGGCAAAGCGTCTAACCTATCGAAATTTGTAATTCCGGTACGGCTCAAGTCTTCTGGTTGTCCAGAGACGACATTTTTTACGGCGGCAGACTCGTACACTTCAACGACAGATGAATTTCGGTAAGTTAAAAACACACACACAAACATGTCTACGATGACGATTAAAGTAGTACTAGGAAATCATACTCGGTCCTCCATGAACTTCAGGATCTTGAACAATTTCTTCTTCTTCTTCATCGTCGTCTTCCTCGTCTAGGTCATGATCATCAGGGATGTGACCTTCATGGTGATGTCCGGGCCCATGTTTTTTAATCGTATCCTTCATCTTCTTTGCCTTTGCCTTAACCTTTTCCAACACCGAATGTTTCTCATGGTGCTGGTCGTCGTCGTCTTCTCCTGCAGGAAAATCAATGGTCCAAAACGTTAAAATAGAAAGAGAGAAATTTACTCTAAATCCAGATTTAAATTTTTTTTCACACCATGCTGGTGCCTAATGTTGGTGTCATAAGCCGATTGAGTATCCATTTTTCCAGGAAAAAGAAAGATAATTACAGAGAAGATAAATTGTGGATTTTATAAAGTACCAAAATGATATGATTTCGCCACCTTTGCATGGCGGTGGCACTGTAACATAGGCACACGTGGAACATGATCAACCGACAGTAGTCCATTTCCTGCCACGTAAGTCTCTTTCATTTTGCACGTGGCATTATGTTGGATAGTTCATTATTATCTTATCAGAAGAATGCTTAAACTGCACGTCTTTTAGAGGCAATGGATCTATTTTTAAAAGAATGGCGCGCACACGGACATATATCCCATTGTAATTAGAGATAAGATTCAAATTTGCAAATTTTGATCTAATTTAATTGGATTAAGGGTAATTTTGTTACTTTGTGTATCTAATTTATTATTTTCGTATTAATTTAGTCTTTTAATATTTAAATACATCATTTTATATTTTATTTTTAACTTAAAATTCTAAATTAATAACTCTAAACCTTAAATCATAATCTCATAACTTTTAAACTCTAAATTTTAAACTTTAATTTTTAATTTAAAACTTTTAATTTAAGATTTTAAATGAGGGGTAAAATATAAAATGATATAATTGAGCAACTTCGAGAGTTAAATTAATGCGAAAAAAATGATAAGGACGAAATTGATAAATTAAATTTACTACAAGGATAAAAGTGACTTTTTTGCCAATTTAATTTTATTGAGTTAAGTTTTTCTAAAAATTGGGGGACGGTTCATATTTTTAGAGTATAAAATAAGGTCGAGTCGAATTTAAGGTGATGAATATCTTACCTAAATTAACTTAAAATATATAATTATATTTTATATAATTAAGAATAATTATAATAATATTTTATTTTTTTATTTTATTAATATATATATATATATATATATACTATATATATATATATATATATATATATATATATATATATATATATATATATATATATATATATACACCAGATGGTGTCGAATATATGTTTTAAAGGATAGACTGACTTCAAGTCGAATTTTAAGTAAAATATATATTTTTATTAAGTTTGGGTAAAATTGACTGATAACTCGACCTAATAGTTATCATCAATATACCGACAACTGATCATTTAACGTTTGGAAAAATAAAATTAAGGGCAAATTACAAAGGTTATCACTCAACTTTCATTTTATTCCTATTTTAATTCTGGGATGTCTAGGTTCAGGAGATGTTCCCAATTTGATAGAAGATTGTCGTTTTCCAAAGACAAATTATTTTATTGAGAAAAATGGAGGCAGTAAATCGGTTCCCAGCTATTTGATCAAAACCTCAAAATCCAAATTTGCTGCTTGAGCTTTCGACCAAATTGGTTGAATCTAATTTTTCAGTGCTCCTAACAGGAAAGATGAGCAACAAACAATGGAAGAATGCTACAAGTTCAGATAAGGATTTCTTCATTGGACTTTGATGTAAACTATCACACGTATTTCCTTCTAGAGGAACAGCTGCTTCACCCTGTTCAGTGTTCTTTCCCCAGCATGCTAGTTCTTGCCATTCTTAAGTTTCTCACTGTCATTACAAGTTACCCTCTTTCACCTTCCACTTCTGCAAATTTCAGACTTATTTCTGAATATCTTTCTTCCATGTCTTTAAGCTCACGCTCCATGGATTTGTTCCTTTCCTTAAGACCTTCCACTTCACTTAGCAATTCGGCAAGATTAGTAGCATCACTGCTGGTTTCATAAGAAGGAAAGCATAAATGATTAGTCGATGGAGTGATGAACTCCATCTACAGTATACATATTGCTTAATAATTAGCTGTAATTCTTGAGACAAAAAGATTGGCATTGATCATATTGGGACAAAAATACATGCTCATACCTTTCAACTGGTTCTGCTATTGTTGAGGAAGACTTGCTTTCAGCAGCAGCCATCATAGAATGGTGCTTGTCCCGCGAATTTCCCCGTTTGGGTCGTTCCTGTATAACATTGCTAATTGTTGTAGAATACGGCTATCGAATAAAGCAAAATCACAACTGAGAATTTGAGAAAATAAAAATGAAGATAAAAGTGACACAAAACTTACGTGAAAAACCCTTAAATAATATAGGGTAAAAACCACGGGCAACGGTAGAAGAATTTCACTATGAGAAAATAGGAATTACAACTTCTCTCAATCTACCAAGGAGAAAACAATAATAATTCTCTCTTGATAAAAAAGAGAAAACAACTCTCAAGAAACTCTCTAAATTCTCTCTAGTATTGGAAGAAAGCTAGAATGCTTTTGGGATGATTTTGAAGCTAAATGACATAGGGTATTTATAGTTGAAGCTTAAGGACTAATCTTATAAATACCCTAAAGTACAATGACTAAATTGAATTATACCATTTCTCAAATTCAACAAAAAAACAACTACCTAATTTTCGGTGCCTACCTTGCTGAAAATTTCAATTCTTCTTTCTTCTTTTTTCTACACAATTCATGCACCGAAATCATCCACAACTTGTTTGACTTTTCCACAATCTCTCACTTGAAGAATTGATTAGAACAATCATATCTTCACACCATTCTTTCTACCTTGTACATTCATGTTGCTTACGTTTCTGACAGGCCACAAGAGGATCGACACCAGGTAAATTTATGAGCATTAATTGCCTTCGTCATGAAATCTGTTATGCTGTCTTTTGTATGGATCTTCTGCATATCTATTGTCCCTTCTTCCACCTTTTCACGAATGAAATGGTACTGAACTCGTATGTGCTTTGTCCTTGAATGAAATTCTGGATTCCTTGCTAGATGCAAGGCGCTTTGACTATCACAAAACAGAGAGACATACTCTTGATTGTGCCCAAGCTCCTCCAATAGCATCTTCAACCAAATTGCTTCTTTACTGGCTTGTGTAGCTGCTACATATTCTGCCTCTGTTGTGGATGTAGCCACAACTGACTGCAATTTTGAAACCCAGCTTACAACTCCACCAGCAATTTTGAACACATATCCTGTAGTAGATTTACTTTTATCCAAATCCCCTGCATGGTCAGAATCTACATACTCATTGATTAATAAGTTTGATCCTCCGTAACATAATGCAACATTTGAGGTACCTTTGATATAACTCAGGATCCTTTTCACTGTATTCCAATGCTCTTTGCCTGGATTCGCCATGTACCGACTAAACACTCCCACTGCTTGTGCAATGTCTGGTCTTGTGCATATCATAGCGAACATTAAACTTCCCACTGCTGATGCATACGGTACTCGAGACATCTCCATCCTCTCTTCTTCGCTGCTAGGACTCATACTAGAGGATAATTTGAAGTTAATAGGAAGAGGGGTAGAAATTGGCTTACAATCTTGCATGTTGAATCGTGACAAGATCTTCTTCAAGTAATTCTTTTGTGAAAACCAAATCTTCCTATTACTTCCGTCTCTGTGAATTTGCATCCCTAGAATCTTGTTTACTGATCCCAAGTCCTTCATTTCAAATTCCCTAGCTAGTTGTGCCTTCAATTCTTCAATATGATCTTTATTGGGTCCTGCAACCAACATGTCATCCACATACAACAACAATATAACAAAATCGTTATCACCAGACCTCTTGAAATAAGCACAAGGGTCTGCATTAAGTTTGTTGTATCCAAGGCACATAATGAAGGAATCAAATCTGCTTTAGACCGTACAGAGATTTGTTCAACCTGCAAACCAAGTTCTTCTTTTCTTTTTCTTCAAAACCTTCAGGATGGAGCATATAAATCTCTTCTTCAAGATTTCCATGAAGAAAAGTTGTTTTAACATCTAGCTTCTCTAGATGTAAGTTCAATATAGTACACATTGCCAAAACTACTCGAATTGTTGTTAGTCGAACCACATGAGAAAATATTTCATTGAAATCAATACCTTCTTTTTTAACATATCCTTTGACCACCAGTCTTGCACGATACCTCTCAACTTGATAGCCACCATTTCGCTTGATTTTGAAGACCCATTTGTTACGAATAGGCTTCCTTCCTTGTGGTAGTGGCACAAGGTCCCATGTATTATTTTTATGAAGGGCTTCGATTTCTTCTTACATCGCCATCATCCACAGTGAAGTATCTGTGTTGTTTATTGCCTCCTGGTATGTTGATGGCTCACCGTCCTCTGTTAAAAGGCAGTATGCAACATTTCCTTCTATAACATAATCTGAGTGCCAATTGGGACGTCTTCTCACACGATCTGATTGATGAGTTGTTGGAGCTTCAGAACTCTCTGGTTCTTGTTCATCATATGCTGGTTCTGCTTTAGAAGAATCTCCTTGTTCAACCTCTTTTTCCACATGTATCTTTGTAGTCTCTAACTTTTCAGTGCTATCATCGTCTTCTTTTCTTTGTAGCTTATCTTCTACAAAGATGACATCCCTGCTGATGATCACTTTGCGGGCAGTGGGATCCCACAAGCGATACCCCTTTACTCCATCAGCATACCCCAAGAATTTGCATTTCCTGGATTTTGGATCCAACTTTGAGATTTCTTGGGAGTTGTACATCACGTACACAATACTTCCAAATATATGTAGGTTTGAATAATCAGCTGGTTTATCAGTCCACATCTCCATTGGTGTCATTAGCTCTATTGCAGTTGATGGAGCTCGATTCACCAAATAACAGGCGGTATTGACTGCTTCTGCCCAGAATGATTTTTCTAGGACTGCATCCCTTAACATTGCTCTTGTTCTTTCTAACAAGGTTCTGTTCATCCCCTCTGCCACTCCATTTTGTTGAGGAGTGTTCGCCACTGTGAACTGTCTTTTGATGCCTTCTTTCCTGCAAAAGTTATCAAATTCTTCGCTTGTGTATTCTCCTCCATTATCTGTTTTGAAACACTTGATCTTATTTCCAAAATCAAGTTCCACCCGCGCCTTGAAGTTTTTAAAAGTTGAAAACACGTCTGACTTATTCTTGATAGGGTACACCCAACATCTCCTGGAGTAGTCATCAATAAATGAGACAAAGTATTTTGCTCCACCTAGGGATGTAACTGGTGCTTGCCATACGTCAGAGTGAACCAATTCTATAACACTTTTGCCTCTATAATTTGATTTGTTGAATTTCAGCCGGTGCTGCTTACTTGTTATGCAATGGTCATACAAAGGAAGTGTTACCTTTGTTAAGCCTGGAATTAGGTTTTGCTCCGCAAGGACTTTCATTCCTTGTTCTGACATGTGTCCAAGTTTCTGATGCCATAGCATTGCAGAATTTGAACTACATGAGGCAACAGAGGCTTCTGCTTCTAGCAAAGTCTCTCCCTTCAGCATGTACAAGTTTGCAGTTATCTTTTCGCCTTTCATCACCACAAGCGCTCCACGGAACACCTTCATGATTCATTTTCGTGTTTCAATCTTGCTTGCATTATTATCCAACAATCTATAGGATAATAATTTTTTCTTCAGGTCTTTCACGTGCCGCATATCTCGAACAACTTTAATTGTTCCATCATACATCTTCAATTTGATGGTTCCCATGCCAATGATCTCTAAGGCATGATCATTACAACTATACACAGATCTTCCTAAGACAGGTTCATACTGATGGAACCATTCTCTTCTTGAGGTCATGTGATATGTTGCTCCTGAATCAATGAGCCATATATCTGCAAATCTTTTTCTGCCTTCCACGGTGGTTGACGCTTCACAACATAGAGCATAGAACATCATTTGAAGTGTTTGTGGTATTACCTTGTGGATTGGAGTTTTTATTTAGACTCCAACAATCCTTCTTTAAGTGACCCTTCTTTCCATAGTTGTAGCACTTTAAATTCTTCTTGCTCCTCGACTTCGATTTACCATGTTTGTGACTGCTACTTTGGCCACGTTCTGTTGATCTCCCTCTCATCGTTGTCAACGCTTCTGTTTGTTGCAGATTTACTTGTCTGTCTTCCTTGTTCTTGCGCCGATTTTCTTCTTGGAGAACAGCAGCTGCAACATCATCAAAGACTAGACTGGTGACATTAGTGTTTGTCAAGTTGATGATGAGTTGATCATACGAATCAGGTAGACTTTAAAGTAGAAGTTCAGCATGTTCTTGTTCTCCTATTGTACATCTTAAGGATGTAAGCTGAGAAAATAACGTGTTCAGTGTGTTTAAGTGCTCCGTCACTGAAGTAGATTCTGACATACGGAGAGTGTGCAATTTCCTCTAAAGGAAAATTTTATTATGCAGCGATGTGGCCTCATACAATTTGGTGAGATAATCCCATATCTCCTTAGCTGTCTTCTTCTCCTCGATGCTTGACAATACTTCATCTGCTAATGCTAGATGAAAGTTTGCCATAGCATTCCCATCAATTTCAATCCATTTGTTGTCATCTGTGAAATCTACCAGTCTTTCACTGATAGCTGCTAGACAACCGTCTTTCCTCAGGATAGCCTTCATCTTCAATTTCCACAATGAGAAATTTCTCCCATTGAACTTTTCAATATCAAATTTTGTTGTTATAGCTTCTAGATAGCTCCCACTATTTCACTATCGTGAATAGTTCTCTGGAACCTTCAAAGAATGGGTAACACCTTCTTACTTTCTTATATTGGAGGATCCACCTTTTGGTGGCAACCACAAAGACAATAAGCAGATATTACACACTCAAATCTGGCTCGGATACCAATTGTTGCAGAAGACGGCTATCGAATAAAGCAAAATCACAACTGATAATTTGAGAAAATAAAAATGAAGATAAAAGTGACACAAAATTTACGTGAAAAACCCCTAAATAATATAGGGTAAAAACCACAGGCAATGGTAGAAGAATTTTACTATAAGAAAATAGGAATTACAACTTCTCTCAATCTACCAATGAGAAAACAATGATAATTCTCTCTTGATAAAAAAGAGAAAACAACTCTCAATAAACTCTTTAAATTCTCTCTAGTATTGGAAGAAAGCTAGAATGCTTTTGGGATGGTTTTAAAGCTAAATGAGATGAGGTATTTATAGTTGAAGCTTAAGGACTAATCTTATAAATACCCTAAAGTACAATGACTAAATTAAATTATACCATTTCTCAAATTCAACAAAAAACAACTACCTAATTTTCGGTGCCTACCTTGCTGAAAATTTCAATTCTTCTTTCTTCTTTTTTCTACACAATTCATGCACCGAAATCACGCACAACTTGTTTGACTTTTCCACACTAATCTTCGAAGGGAACTTGAATTAAGTTTGAATTCGAGTTTTAATCAAGTATGAAAATGTTTTAAATTTAATTTTTTTAAGCTCGAGTTGAGTTTGAAAATTTTAAGCTTGCAAGCTTTTGAATCGAGTTGAATTCAGATTTAAAATTTTCGAACCGAATCAAGTTTAGCAATATTCGATCTCGACTAGCCTCGTTCACAACCTTAGTCTAGTCGCATGACAAATCACAAAACGATATTCTTTGTAATCCACAAAACTTTTGACACTGATCTGTAGAAGAACAATGACAACTTTCGAGTTGTTCCATGATGCTTTCCAGCTCTTTAATCATGTTGCTGAGATTACTTTCCTTCTTTAGAGCTGAATTAGTTGGTGTTTTCAATGCAGCTTCCTTGAGGTTTATATGTTCCTTCCAAAGATTGTCAAATTATTAATCTTTCCATGAATAACAGATACAGTTTTTTTTTCTAATCCTTTTATTAGAATAACTACCTTAAGTGACCTCATTTTTTTCTGCAAACTAGTGATGTCTTTGGTCTCTTGAGGAGCTGAGACCGAGTGATTGCTCCTTGAAGTGATGTCCACTTGACCACTGGTACTTTCGAGTTCGTTCTGTATAGAGCTGATTTATTCTTCCTTCTTTTGCAGGTCATTCTTTAATTGAGATAGTTGTTCTCTCAGTTTTTCTTTCTCCCTTTCTTCCCGGAGCAAGCTATGCTTTAAATCATAACACTCCTCTCTAATATTCTGCATTTATGACTGCAGATTCGAGATCACCATCTCCTTTTTATCCTTCAAAGTAGGGTTTCAAATCGCGGTCGCGGTCACGTTTTCGGTTATTTCGGATTTACCGTGATTGTGGCCGTCGCGGGCGCTATTGCGGCCGTCGCGGACGTTATTGTGAGCGTCGTGGGTAACTCGGACAGCGGCGAAATTGCTATATCGTGGCCGAAATAGCAGTCGCGTACCGTTTTTTAAAACCTTGTTTCAAAGATCTTATACTAATTAATTGCTTCTGTGCCTTCTCTGTTTCCTTCTTTGCCGAAGCGATTTTTTTCTCCAATTCATCTCTGTCTTTGATCCATATTTGTATCAGAATCTCAGTTTTTTCATTTGATGTCTTCACTTTTTTGGTTTCATCACTTTGCTTTGCCTGATCAGAAAATTGGTTTCTCTACTCTTCGAGCTTCTCGATCTCAGTCTTGAGCATTCGAATTTCTTTTGAGAATGCCTGTTACTTTTCCTTCTTTGCTTTTGTGCATATTCAAGTTGTGCAGTCTTATCATCGAGTTCCATTGACATTTTTGCTATTTGTTTTTCTTTGAGATCTAGTTGGTACGTAAGGTCTTCTAGTTCGATCGCAGACTGGTCTTTAAGTAGCCTGAGCTCTTCATTGGCTTCCTGGAGCATTTCTTCGAGATTTCCTTTTTGTATCTCCAGGTCATTTGCTTCAACAACTTCTTTCAAGTTCATCTTTTCATTCTCATCAAACCTACCCGACATTTCAACATAGAGCTTTTTAAATTCTTCCTGAAGCTGCTCGGCGTTAGCAGTATTCTTCTACCTTGTCGTTCTTAAGGCCTCCTCTGCACAGATAGCCCTCTGTTCCTACTCGATTTTGGCACATATCATGGCATCAAGCTCCTCTTCAAACCCTTGTGTCTGATCCTCCAGTTCTTTGTTTAATTATTTGACTTGACTTTCAAGTTCATTAATGGCAATTAAATATTCCAAGTATTCTTCTGATTGCTGCTTGATTTTATCCTCTAGTCTTTGCACTTGAGATTCAAGTTCATTTATAGTAGCTAAATATTCCGAGGACTCATTGTGTGTCTTCATTGATTCTTGTTGCTGGTTTTGCTTTAACTGTGATGCAATTTTTTTCGTTTTCGTGGCTTAGTTCGTCTATATGCATCTCTAACTCCTTATGTTTCTTGTAAAACTCCAACTCCGCATTCAGAACTGTGATTGTCTATTTCATCATGTGTACTTCATCGGTATCATCTCGTTCATTCGAACCTGCCTCTTCAATACTCGTACTTGCTTCTATCTCGCTGGAGAGGCGAGATATTTCCCTGTTCTTTTGCTCTAGCATTTCATTGAGGTCTCTTACTGCAAGAATTAGATTAGAATTCGAGTCATCCGTCTTCTATAGCTGCAAATGGAGATTCGTATTTAACTCCTTTTCATGCTCCAACTCATGCCTAATTTCTTCTAGAAGAACCTTTGACCCCTCATTTTCGTCTTCCGATCCACCGTCGCTTACTTCCTCATCCATATTTTTCTTCGACTTGAGTAGTTCGAACTCCGTTTTCACTGCATCCCTTTCTTCTTTAAGGCTGGTAATTTGTCTCGACAGGTCCCGAGTCCGTTTGTTCTCCTTTAAAATATGTTTCCTAAGAGACTGCAACTCCAATTCCGATACTTCTTGCTGCCTCGATAATATAGCATTTTCACTTCTGTGTTTCTCAACAGGATCTGATCCCTTGTGCCATTCTCTTGGTATGTCATCAGGGCTATTAACTAGCTCAACTAAACTTCCCGACCAATCTGTGTTCGTTCTCCGGTGCATCTTCCTTTCAGTCGTGCCGGTATCTGACGCTCTCTGGGGCATTGAGTTTTGCCGTAAAGGTGAAAATAATTCGCCAGGGTCCAAATCCCCATTCTGTGTAGTAATTTATGTATTCTTTTAACCAGATCATTCATGCTAAACTATACAAGTTGGGATTTCGAACTTACTTCTGTTGAATTTTGTACATTGTCACTATAATCCATGCCTTGTCTGTACATGCTTCCCACTCTGGAAATGGTCAAATCTTCACCATCTCCAAAGTATCTGACATCGGAAATCGAATTACATATAGGTAAGTAGAACAAAAACGAAAGGGTAACTGGTGAATGACTAGAGATGGATTATTAGTGCTTGTATCACCTCTGATCTTCTGCTCCCTCAATTTTACGAATTGTCACCTATAGATCACCATGTATATCAACCAAGTTACAGTGAAACCAATACTAGATTCCGAAATCAACATAATTTAAATACTTGGAGAGGATGACAATGAGAGATGAACTAACATGTAAAATGGCACCGGAATTTGCAAACTTAAGGGGCAGAGAGACCGTAACAGGTTCGATTTCTGTTGCGAAATCGGCAAAATCGATCGAAGCTTCTCCGAGAAACCCTGCTTTCGAAGATCCCTGCAACAAACAATCACATTGGAAACTCAAAAACAATGAGGGAACAAACAAATGCTTATCAAATTTTTTGAATATTGCATACATTTGAAACAACAAAGTGGTAAATATTTTCACCCAGTTTCCCTGTTTTTGTCTCCCTGATCATTTTCGTAGTTACATAAACAGGATTTTCCCACAAACAACTCTCCTCTCGAACCGCAACTTTCTCCAATCTTAGCGTTGGCTTACCGACATCCTTCGGCACTAAGGCTATCGCTACCCCGGACTTTTTCAACTTCGACACCTGTGGGAAAAAAAACAAAGATGCATAATCAGATTAGATATTTCCATTGTCGCGGCCTTGCTTCGACTTGAAAAATGTTAGATTCGTCACCGATAATTTTAAAAATATTTAGGCTGATCGAATAACATCTTAACTGATCTGTGTTTTATCAAAAATGTGTCGAGTTCGGGAGTCGATTACAGTCATGGAAGAATTAACACTCTTGTACTGCCCTTTCGGTACTAATTAGTTTGTTGGTTGTCTTAGTTGTGAAAAATTAAAATTAAAATTTTAAAAAAACTCGATTCAAATTACTTACCTTCGATTGGTTAGAATTTCTCTAAAAAGTCGAAAATGTTAAATAAGAAATAATAAATAAATCAAGGAAACAACCATAAAAAATCATAATAATAAATAAAAAGGAAAAAATGTTAAATAAAAATAAAAAAAATTAAATAAAATAAAGATATATTAAATAAATCAAAGTAAAAATGTAAAAAAATAAAAATAAAATAATAAAAGAATAATAAAATAACGAATCAAAGAAATAAAAGAAAGAAAATAAGATAAAAATAGATAAAATAAAAGAATAAATAAAAGAATCAAAGAAAAACATATTTAAAAGAAAATAAATTAAAGTTATGGTATATGTTTAGAATATAGTACATATACATATGTGCACGTATATACAAGAAATATAAATAAGGGACCCAAATGCTTTAATTCAAGAGAAAGGGGACAAACTAAGCTTCATTCAAAATTTGAATGATTACATGCATAATATATCTAATATATTAAGAAACATGATACATGGTCAAAACCCAAAACAAATTAAAAATGGGCTCATCTTTTTCACTAGATCTTAACACGAGAGAAGGGGGAGAGCACTCTGTCGCTTCCTCGCCGAAGAATCAAGGTTCCGCCGCTGATAACTTGACCGTCAGATCTTCGAAAGAAGAAGAGATTCTGGCGACCTTTTGAACTCCCCCGATGGCCCTCCGATCAAGGTATGGTTCTCCTCCCTTTTGTTTTCTTTCAATCTCTTGTTTCAAATGGATTTCAGGTTTTTTCCCTCTGTTTTTTTTTCAAATTATTTTTTGTGTAACTTGCCTTGAATCTCTGTTGCCCGTGATTCCCCCTCTGTTTTCGTATGATTTCCCCGTCGTATTTTCCTCTCTTTCGTGATTTTTCTATGCCCCCATTCTCTATTATTTTTACACTAATTTATAGCTTGATGAACCCCCTATTTTTGGGTGGATTTAGAGTCCTAATAGGATTCAAAAACTGATTTACAGCTTTTAACTTGGTTATTTTCTGCTTGATTCCCAAGAATACGTGATGTCGGGGAAATCGGAGGTGGGTGAGGCATTGGAGGAAAATTAGTGTCTACAGCTGCCCCTCTTTGTCTTTTTTCGTGGAACGAAAAATAGGACAAAGATAAAAAGACACAAATTTTCGTTCGGTGGAGTTGAAAATTAACTCTGATATTTCAATTAAGAATAATTCCCTATCGAATTGAGTTACAGATGACTCCTTCGTCGTAAAGTCGAGTCCATCTTGAAATGATATGGAATTGAAGTCGTAGTTCAAAATTTGAATCGGAATGTGGCTTCTCGTTGCCAAATTGTAGTCAACTTCGGTCTTCTTCTCGGTTTAAAGACCTTGATTTAAAAATTCAAATAGAAAATAGTTCCTCGAAATTGAACTCAGAAATCTTCGTTGACATATAGTTTTTCTTGACTTAAGTTGTGCTGCTAGAAAACGGTTTTTTCTCACTAAGGCACGGCTAACCCACGTCTTTTTCTCGACTTAAAGACCTCGGTTTAAACTTTAACCGGAAACTAGTCGACAAGTTATCGAGCTGAATGGAATCGAACTCGAAAGTTTTCATAGAAAGATAACTCTTCTCGCCTTGAGTTATGCTATAATGAGCTGAGAGATTACCCCAGATATTCTTCTTGACTCAAAGACCTTGACTTCAACCGGAAAGTATTTTCTTGATGATGTGTCATCGAGCTGAATGGAATTGAACTCGACGGTTTTTATTGACATATAACTTTTCTCGACTTTAGCTATGTTGTAAATTTGACATGCCCTTGACCTGAATAGAATCAAACTCGAAGGTCTTTATTGACAGATAACACTTCTCTCCTTGAGCTATGCTGTAAATTTGATGTGCCTTTGAGCTGAGTGTAATCGAACTCGAAGGTATTTTGTTGGTAGATAGCTCTTTTCTCCTTGAACTATGTTGTAAATTTGATATGCCTTTGAGATGAATGTAATCGAACTTGAAGGTATTTTGTTGGCAGATAACCCTTCTAGCCTTGAGTTATGCTGCGAATTTGATGTGCCTTTGAGCTGAGTGTAGTTGAACTCGAAGGTCTTTTGTTGGCAGATAACTTTTCTCGCCTTGAGCTATGCTGTAAATGATGTGCCTTTGAGTTGAGTGTAATCAAACTCGAAGGTCTTTTGTTGGCAGATAACCCTTCTCGCCTTAAGCTGTGCTGCAAATGTTATGCCTTTGAGTTGAGTGTAATCGAACTCGAAGGTCTTTTGGTGGCAGATAGCCATTCTTGCCTTGAGCTATGCTGCAAATGATGTGCCTTTGAGCTGAGTGTAATCGAACTCGAAGGTCTTTGACAGATAGCCCTTCTTGCCTTGAGCTATGGTGCAAATGATGTGCCTTTAAGATGAGTGTAATCGAACTCGAAGTTCTTTTGTTGGCAGATAGCCCTTCTCGCCTTGAGCTATGCTACAAATGATGTGCCTTTGAGCTGAATGTAATCGAACTCGAAGGTCTTTGGCAGATAGCCCTTCTCGCCTTGAGCTATACTGTAAATGATGTGCCTTTGAGTTGAGTGTAATCGAACTCGAAGGTCTTTGGTAGATAGTCCTTCTTGCCTTGAGCTATGCTGCAAATGATGTGCCTTTGAGCTTAGTGTAATCGATCTCGAAGGTCTTTGGCAGATAACCCTTCTTGCCTTGAGCTATGCTGCAATTGATGTGCATTTGAGCTGAGTGTAATCGAACTCGAAGGTCTTTTATTGGCAGATAACCCTTCTCGCCTTGAGTTATGCTGCAAATGATGTGCCTTTGAGCTGAGTGTATTCGAACTCGAAGGTCTTTGGCAGATAGCCCTTCTTGCCTTAAGTTATACTGCAAATGATGTGCCTTTGAGCTGAGTGTAATCGAACTCGAAGGTCTTTGGCAGGTAGCCCTTCTTGCCTTAAACTATGCTGCAAATGATGTGCATTTGAGCTAAGTGTAATCGAACTCAAAAGGTCATGGTTGACAAATAACCCTTCTCGCCTTGAGTTATGATGTAAATTGGATTCGTTCTGAATTGACTTTCGAACCTGTGTGGAATTGATTCTGAGATCTGTCGATCTTTCAATATGTAAAGTTGTTTGAGGTGTAGCTTCTCGCTACTGAGTTAAATCACCACAATTGATCTTTGAAGGTGCTTTTGAATCGAGTATATTTTGTCATGAAGTCGAAACTTGACTCTAAAAGTTGCAAAAATTATGCATGTGAAAAATGATAAACGTGATGCTCTTAAGTATGTCTAAGATGCATGTAATATGAATTAGTTTTATTTTATCTCTTGGATGGAGTCTCGTGCTTTGTCTGGCGATATGGTCCTTGGAATCGATCATGCCCCATTTTCTTCTCAGGTTGTTGACAGTGTCACAAGTTCTATATGGTCTCTCCGACTGATTTTCAAGAATGTGAGATGCTCAAAGTTTGGTCTTGTACTTGGAATCGACCATGCCCTATTTTCTTTTCGGGTTGCAGCCTTTCACATCTAAGACTGTCCTGTTTGAAAGTGTTTTTATCCTTTCTCTTATTTTAGGAGAGGGGAAAAATATAAGAATTTTGTAAAACATTGCTCCTTAATTCAGGCTTGCACTCAAATCAAATAAAAAATCTGAGTTCAAAGTATATAAAAGGAATCAATAGTTCTTTTAATGTTTTTAGAGTTATAGCTCTTTGACAAATATTCAAATGGATGAGTTGGCTTTAGGTGGGCCTCTTAAAAATGTCATTTTTTGGTTATTGATTGGCTTGACATTTTAATTGGATGCGGACAAAATGACGCAACTAGCATAATCAATTACTAGACATTCTATTTTGGTCCTCTGAAATTTTCCATTTGTTTAAGCTTTGTAGGCTCCTCTAACAAAGGCAGTGCAAAAATATCGGTCTAAAAATGAACTTCTTGAGTGCTCGTGTGAAATTGACTATAACAGGTGTTCCTTAACTCCCTTAGTCCATCTTTACCGAAACTCCTTATTTAATTTGCCATTGTCTGGCTAGCTGGATCCATAAAGCTAGGGCGTTTAACCAATTGCTCTAGAGGGACAATTCAATATTATAATCACCTTTATTAGGTTAGCTGAATATTATTCATAAAGCCGGGGCGTTTAACCAATTGCTCTAGAGTGACAACTCAAGCTTTATTGTATATATATTATAATCACCTTTATCAGGCTTAGCTGAATCTTATCCATAAAGCTGGGGCATTTAACCAATTGCTCTAGAGGGATAGCTCAAGCTTTATTGTATATATATATAATTATAATTTGAGTATATGGATTCAACTTCTTAAGTTTGTCAAGAAGAACCTGTTATAGTCTAGGTGTTGTTGAAAGTCAAGAAATTTCATCTTTAGAGTTCAATTTCCAAGCAACTGGTCTGAATTAGATTCACATACTCGACTATTCTATTCTTAGAGATCATTATCATCATTGAACGTCTTAAACAAAAAGTGTAGTAATGTCATATTCAAAAGATGCCTCATGTTGTCCGCACCTATGCACATCTAAATACCAAGCCTCTTTTCATTCTTTTATGATAGGAGAAGGCTATAT